TCGTTGAGAGCAGCTTGACCAGCTGCATCACTGTCTGGTATGGCAGCACTACTGCTATGGACTGCAAGCGTCCACAAAGAGTGGTAAAGACTGCAGAGAAGATCACCAGGACTCCACTGCCCTCTCTGCAGAACATTTACCACCGCAGGGTGTGGAGGAAAGCCACCGCCATACTCATGGACCCCATCCATCCCCAGCACGGACTGTTCGCCTCCCTACCCTCTGGCCGAAGGTTCAGAAATGTGAAATGCAGGGCCTCTATACTGAAAAACTCTTTCTTTCCAACTACCATCAGGCTCTTAAACAGCTGACTCAGGATTTACCTCATGTAATTCCATCTGTACTGTTTACATTCTCATTTTGCACATGCATAATTGCACACTCACTGCTGAGTATATGCACTCCACGTAGTATATATTGTCTCTGCATTATATTGTGTTCTTCTTGTATTTTTATTGTGCTTCCTTCACTTGCTGCTTTAAAGTGGCTTAGATTTGTGATTTTACTGCCTAATTGTGTTATTGCTGTTGTGAACTTAAGGGGTGCTATTATAAAAATTGCCACCACATTGCTCATCTACCTTATATTTCACTTGTACAGGTGCATCTCAATAAATTAGAATATCATGGAAAAGTTCATTTATTTCAGTAATTCAACTCATATAACCGGACGTGGCTTTATAATACAGTGCCTTGCGAAAGTATTCGGCCCCCTTGAACTTTGCGACCTTTTGCCACATTTCAGGCTTCAAACATAAAGATATAAAACTGTAATTTTTTGTGAAGAATCAACAACAAGTGGGACACAATCATGAAGTGGAACGAAATTTATTGGATATTTCAAACTTTTTTAACAAATAAAAAACTGAAAAATTGGGCGTGCAAAATTATTCAGCCCCTTTACTTTCAGTGCAGCAAACTCTCTCCAGAAGTTCAGTGAGGATCTCTGAATGATCCAATGTTGACCTAAATGACTAATGATGATAAATAGAATCCACCTGTGTGTAATCAAGTCTCCGTATAAATGCACCTGCACTGTGATAGTCTCAGAGGTCCGTTTAAAACGCAGAGAGCATCATGAAGAACAAGGAACACACCAGGCAGGTCCGAGATACTGTTGTGGAGAAGTTTAAAGCCGGATTTGGATACAAAAAGATTTCCCAAGCTTTAAACATCCCAAGGAGCACTGTGCAAGCGATAATATTGAAATGGAAGGAGTATCAGACCACTGCAAATCTACCAAGACCTGGCCGTCCCTCTAAACTTTCAGCTCATACAAGGAGAAGACTGATCAGAGATGCAGCCAAGAGGCCCATGATCACTCTGGATGAACTGCAGAGATCTACAGCTGAGGTGGGAGACTCTGTCCATAGGACAACAATCAGTCGTATACTGCACAAATCTGGCCTTTATGGAAGAGTGGCAAGAAGAAAGCCATTTCTTAAAGATATCCATAAAAAGTGTCGTTTAAAGTTTGCCACACACAAAACAAACTTGAGACACACCAAACATGTGGAAGAAGGTGCTCTGGTCAGATGAAACCAAAATCAAACTTTTTGGCAACAATGCAAAACGTTATGTTTGGCATAAAAGCAACACAGCTCATCACCCTGAACACACCATCCCCACTGTCAAACATGGTGGTGGCAGCATCATGGTTTGGGCCTGCTTTTCTTCAGCAGGGACAGGGAAGATGGTTAAAATTGATGGGAAGAGGGATGGAGCCAAATACAGGACCATTCTGGAAGGAAACCTGATGGAGTCTGCAAAAGACCTGAGACTGGGACGGAGATTTGTCTTCCAACAAGACAATGATCCAAAACATAAAGCAAAAGCTACAATGGAATGGATCACAAATGAACATATCCAGGTGTTAGAATGGCCAAGTCAAAGTCCAGACCTGAATCCAATCAAGAATCTGTGGAAAGAACTGAAAACTGCTGTTCACAAACGCTCTCCATCCAACCTCACTGAGCTCGAGCTGTTTTGCAAGGAGGAATGGGCAAAAATTTCAGTCTCTCGATGTGCAAAACTGATAGACATACCCCAAGCGACTTACAGCTGTAATCGCAGCAAAAGGTGGCGCTACAAAGTATTAACTTAAGGGGGCTGAATAATTATGCACGCCCAATTTTTCAGTTTTTTATTTGTTAAAAAAGTTTGAAATATCCAATAAATTTCGTTCCACTTCATGATTGTGTCCCACTTGTTGTGGATTCTTCACAAAAAATTACAGTTTTATATCTTTATGTTTGAAGCCTGAAATGTGGCAAAAGGTCGCAAAGTTCAAGGGGGCCGAATACTTTCGCAAGGCACTGTAGAATGGAGCCTTTAAACCTAAAATCATCCTTTGAAGTACTTCCTGTCCACACCATAATAAAACAGTTTGTATCCCCTTCCAATGCTATGTGCTTTGCTACCCTTCCACCTGGTCTCCTGCACACACAGTATATCTAACCTCCTTCTCTCCATCATGTCTGCCAGCTCTCTACCTTTCCCTGTCATTGTGCCAACGTTGAGTTCCTATTCTCAGACCTATACTCCTGCCTTTCCTCTTCTCTCTTTGTCTACCAATCCTTCTACCTCCTCTCCTTCTTCGACCAACAATAGTCCAATTTCCGCCAGCACCCTGTAGGTCAACAGCACTGGTGGCGGCCGTTATTAACCCGGGCCTCGATCGATCCGGTATGGAATTCGCACTGATGATTCACATGTTTAAATTTGGCATGTTTTTACGCCGGATGCCCTTCCTGACGCAACCCTCTCTATTTATTCGGGCTTGCGACCGGCACAGAAGTCACTGGCTTGCAACCCCTGTGGCTAGATTCCAAGTTCCATAAACTAATCATATCAAATAAACAAGACACCTAGATCAATTAAACCAGGTACCCAGATATAAAAAACACTCAGAACAAATACAAGTCACACATATACAGTACCACTCTAACCACCCTCCCAACCCACTCCCACCATTAGGAGGAACTTTAAAGTTCCATTCCAAAAGCCATTTTAGTTTGTGAACAGGCCATTCACATACTCTCATTGTTTCACTTCTTGCAATAAATGTTTCTTTGGAATCTGAAGAGCCTCTTTGGTGTTTTGTCGGTATGCTGGGAGTTTTTATATGAATGGGACCTGTTGTTTCTGGTCACAGAAACCTAAAATCATCCTTTGAAGTACTTGGATTTAAGAGCACAAAACCTGCAGCGATACAGACAGCACCATCAGTGAACCCAGTCAGTCGCCGTGCCAGCACTTCCATCAGTCAAACCAAACTGATATGGTCCACAGAGAGTAGCACATCTGCTAAGATATAAGCCACTTCAGGAATGTAACAAAAGTGTTGATGGATTGTGTGTGTGTGTGTGTACGTATGAGCTGATGAGGGCCAGACATTTCCCCAGTGAAGGAAAACATTCCTTGTGTTGGTGAAATTCACCATCAAGCTGCTGAGAGGGACAAGCAGTTTTAGGGTAAAGACCTTACTTATGCTCACATTTTAATATACAGTAAGAATAAAAGTATGAAGCAAAAACATGATTTGCTTTGATAATCTACACCAATAAATATGATGTCCAGAGGAAGGTCTTCTTATAGCCTATGTTTATCAGTAAACTGCCATAATGTTTTATGCTTTTCTATATTCATTATGTTAAGTGTCTCAGAGTCAATGTGTCTGCAAAGTTTGTTAACTCCCGCTTTCTGAAAAGTGAAGTGTTTCAAAGTGTCTATTGATGTGTTTTATAGAACCCTAGGTGAGAGGAGTGTTAGCTTGACTCTGTTGTGGCCGTAAAGAAAACGTTGCTTTGGTTGCTGATGTTTTCTGCTGGAGTGTTGATATCCAAGAGCCTTTCTTTTAACTTTGGCTTTCACTATCCCATGGATTAGCACTGGATCCAGTTGCAGTTTGACAGACCAAAACTGAATTCAGTTATAGTGTGGTTAATGTGTTCTTTGTAAACCACTGTTTGTACTCAGCCAAAGATCATTTGAAAATTTAAAGAAGCCTGTCACATATACATATCATAGCTAGAAACTTTTTTTAAATTTTCATTTCTCAGGTTTTAACCCCCTGATCTCCATTGATGTTCTTTTCATTTGACACAAAAGGTCCAATCCTACCTGCTGAAAACTTTCTCTCAGGTGACTCTGGTCTTCAGGATGACAGAACTCCAGAATATCTTTTCCCAGCAGGTCCTGCAGAACAGGATAGTTAAAGAAATTAATTCCTTATGAAATAAAGGGGTAGTTTAACCAAACACACACACACACACACGGCTGTGTTTCCATTAATTCAGGGGACATTACATTGACTTACATTCATTTCCTGGAGACTTACTCACTCTAAAATGTATTTATGTACAGTATGTTTTGTAGTCAGCAACAGATGTTGTATCTTAAAAATACTGCCAGAGATAGTAAAGATATACATAAGGCAAAGGCTTGTAACATCCACCTTCCACCCAGCGCCAGGTGTACAGTCCCGTGTCAAAGTGTAATTTCCTTTCTTGCACCTGATGCAATCTCCTCTTTTCCTCCTAGCACCTGCGTCATCAATGCCACATACACTTTTGTCCACCTGGGAGTGTCGATGTAAACAAGGGGCCTTTGCAGGTGTGTTTTGGTGCACTTAGTATCTTGAGAACGCAATAAGAAGTTGCAACAGTGACCAACAAAAAGCTGGTCTAAGTTAATAGTTCAGCATTTTAAAGGCGCTGGATCAAGTTAGCAATACGCACATGCATAAGTGGGTGCACAAGGTGTGAACACGTTGCTTGCCACTTAGGCAGGACCTCACAGCAGCGCACCAAAATGCTACAGATTAAAAACAGAATGTTTTCAGAATTAAAATTAAGACCCTGTACACCAAGTTATTTTAAAACATGTAAACGGTTGATTATACTATGTATCAGAATTATTTTGTCACGATAACGATCAATATAAATGGCAAATTGTTTGAGCAATTGTGGCTCTACACTGGTGTTTAAATCGCTCCTGTCTTCCTCCAGGTAAATCGCCCATCATAATAGCTATCCACCACGGTACCAGGGAGACTACCTTTTAAAGGGAATGGGAGATGGCATTTTGATTGGCTTATTGCATGTTATGTCCAAACCACACCCATGAGTTAAATAAGAGAGCAAGACCAAACCCCTTTAAAACAACTGCCTGATGCAGATATACTTTTTGCGCCATCTAAAGAGCAAAACTGGTCTGTACACGCCCTGTATGCTCCTTGATTGTCGCACCTGGAAAGGTGCACTTTAAATTGTCAAAATAGGGCCCTCAGAGTAAAACAACTTCTAAATCAAAGATACAACTGGAGCCAAAAATTAAGGTTGCTAACAGATAATGCAGTGTTGGTTTTGTAGACAAAAGATTTGAAAGTTTGAAAGTTATTCTGTGGTAAGTTAACCACCATGAGTATCTTTCTAGTTCCAGTTCCAGTTCTAGTTCTAGTTCCGAGATCTTTATAGGACATTGTTGGCCTTCAAAGGACTGAAACACCACCGAGGGGGATAAATATCTTCAACCTAGATATCTAGTCCTGAAGTTTTTTCAGCTTACTATGACCTGAATGACTGAGAATCTGCACAGACATGTATCTTTCTAGTGTAACTTTGAAATTAAATGAATCATTCATCAAGATTTTATATCAGTAAATGCAAGTTAGATAAGGTCAGACAATGATTCAAGCACTGGGGGCCAACCTTTTTTTTAAAGGTAACAGGTACATGCAGGTGATATAATAAATGAAATGCCACATACATCATTTGAAAACTAATGTATTGTAGGAGTTCAACAAGTAATGTTTAAGTACCTCTTCCTCCAGCTGACTGGCCACAGGAATATGTCTACACTACCAGTACAGGTAACAAGCATTTTTCATCCCAGTCTGCTTTCATCCAATATCAACACAGTAACTCGTGTACTTAGCTGAATTATTGAAAAGTACTGTTAAGTTGCTCCTTGTGGAGAACATGAGATGTTCATCTGAAAACACACATCACTGGGGCACTGGGACAGAACTTGGAACCACAGATCACAAAATAGGTAGTTATCATTGTTCATATTTGCACAAAAACAATTCTCTTAGCATAACAGGCACACACTCTTGCCCTCAGTTTTCTTTCTCATAAAAAACAAAGCACAAATTAATTCTAACTCATTCTACATAGCAGTTCTTATAGTTTCTTTACTGCCACTGAAACACTATATATCCAACAGATGTCTCACATTTAAAGGTTTCTAGGAAGAGGAGGATTATGCCTTTGAGCATAGGCTTTTAACGTGACACATCTATGCAGGAAGTATTGGTATTTCATAATAGCAGTTCAAAAAATGTCATCATTGAAGCCAGTGAGTGAAATACTGAGTAAAAACAGTATTTGTGATAAAAGTGAATGTGAGTGCTGCAAAGCTGTATGGCATGACTCAGTTGTTGTAATGATGGAAATATACATTATACTGAATTAATCAAGACATAAACATGGAACAGCAGAAAGGCCTTTTTCACTAAAATGTAATCAAATGTACTGATAAAAATCAAATTAGGAATACACTGTATGATATACTCTAATATAAGTCTGAAGGCCTGGTTCTCTTTGCAGTTGAAGGAAAATATAATATACCACTTTAAAATAAAAACAACAAAAAACTTAGTTTAAAGCTCATGAAAGAGCAATGATGGCAGCTTGCAGAGAATATAAGTATTCTGCAAAGACCAGGCAAATTTCCTTTGCCTGGGACTTAAAACAAATAACACTCCTATCTCCATTCTGAATTTTCATGAGTTTTATAGTACATAGTCCTTTGAGTCCGCTTAGCTAACCTGAGGCTGATAACCAATGACGTTGATGCAGCGCGGGTCGACGAATGTGATGACACCATCTGAGTTGTGACGTGACAAGAACTCTGTCGGTACTGAAAGGCCATTCATATCCATAGAAACTGGAGAGCTGGTCACCTAAGGGAGGCATATTTAGACATATGTAAGACAAGACATACAATTCCTCTATTTGGGCTGTGAATGTAAACTGTGGCATAGTGCTCCCTAAAACAGCAAGTAGTAGAGTTTTATTGACTCAGGCAGACGACAAGACTAAAAGTAAAACACTGATGTTTAAGGGGAAACCACACCATCCATACTTAATGTTTGCTCAGTTACAAGTGGTGTTTATCATTCAAGTATGCTGGTAAATCTATTCATACAATAAAAAAATGCATATACAAATAAATTTTAGTAATAGTAAATATTCATGAAATAATAGTTACAGTTCCTTAATGTGATAGTCTAACCAAAATCTTTGAATTTGATTGATCCCAAAAGTTTCCATAGTGATTGGGTGGGTGGGTGGATGGGGGACACAAATGAGCAAAGAAGCAAAAGAAGTCAAACCACTCCAGCGGCAAAATCCATTTCTTCACTTAACTTGTGTATTCAGATTCTCAGTTTATCCATCGATCTCCCTCCTTGAAGCTCAGAAGCTGTGATGGAAGTAGCATATCCCCAATAAACGCAGACGTGCCAAGGACGTCTAACTCTGTGTCAGACACTGAAAGAGTGGTCCCCAGAGTAGCCAGAATGAAGGCTTATGCAATGTCTTTGACCAGTGTTACAGAATGGTGAAAAAGGTTGATCAAGATAAACATGCACTTCAATTCTGATGCTGCAACACATTCCAAAAAGTCTGGACAATAAAGTGTTTACCACGGTGTGATGTTTCTGTTCCTTTTCACAACACTTAAAAGACATTTAGGGACTGAGGACACCAAGTGATTAAATTTGTCAAGTGTCATTTTGTCCCATTCTTTCTGCAAACAAGTCTTAAGGTGCACAACAGTCCTGTGTTGTCGGCTTTTGGACTTGTTGCTGCTAACAGTCTGGATCAGGGGTGGGCAAGCTTTTTGACTTGCGGGCCACAATGGGTTCTAAAATTTAACAGAGCGGCCAGGACGGGAGCAGAAGGATGGAGTGTTTGTGTGAACTAATATAAATGACATATAAAATGGTAAATGGTCTTATACTTGTATAGCGCCTTTCTATGCTTTTACAGCACACTCAAAGCGCTTTCACACATTATTTGGCCATTCACCCATTCGCACTCCCAAGCACTCACGCATTCACACACCGGTGACATCACCGGGAGCAACTGGGGGTTCAGAGTCTTGCGCAAGGACACCTCGACAAGGTGACTGGACAAGCCAGGAATCGAACCGCTAAACCTCCGGTTAGGAAACGACCCGCTCTACCTCCTGAGCCACAGCCGCCCCCAAAAGCCATCACATAAAAGGTTTTGGCCTTTAACAGGTAGTAAAGCATGAATATGCAAGGCTTATTGTACAAATTATTCTCCAAATACATTTTTTCATAACACAGTAGAGAAATAAACCTTCAGTTTCAGTGGGAAGAGTGTTGTTGGTCTTCCTTTTTAGCCAGTACATCAAAGTCTAGAGTTAGTTTTGTTGTGGCTATTCTCAGGATAGATCTGAGGTGTTGGTCAGTTAACATGGATCTGTGACTGGATTTGTTGATGTTCATGACGGTGAACAGCAAATGCAAAGTCACAAAGCCAGTTCTTGTCACTCAGCTCGGGAAATTCGTCAGATTTCCCCATTAACTCCAAAAATGCGCTAATCTCCTCTTTGAGCTCTAACACTCGTTGAAACACTTTGCCCAAACTTAATCAGATTTTACATACTGTCTCAACTTTTTTTGATGTGGGGTTGCATATTATGATGCCAACCATATATTTAGGAACATAATGGTGGGTTGTCTAGGCTGCTAATAATGGGTACTAAATGCATTCGTGTTGCAATCGTGTAAACATAAAACATGTGAACAGCCAAGCATTAATCTTATATTAAACACAATAAGCAAAAGAAAGTTAGAACGTTATAGGTGTGTACAGGAACACTGATGACACATATCCAAGTTAAGAGTATGCCTAAATGTGTTGAGGGCTGTTTAGGAATATTCAGATTTAACTTTAACAGTCAGCAGTAGCAGTCACGTTGGTACTGGCCCTTTAGATTAATATGGTATGTGTTATGAACATCTTCTTCTTCTTTCATCTGTTCCCGTTAGGGGTCGCCACAGCAAATCATCTGTTTCCACCTAACTCTATCCTCGGCATCCTCTACTCTCACTCCAGTTAACTTCATGTCCTCTTTTAGCACATCCATATATCTCCTCTTTGGCCTTCCTCTCGACCTCTTGCCTGACAGCTCCATCTCCAACATCCTTCTACCAATATAACCACTATCCCTCCTCTGCATATGTCCAAACCATCTCAATCTGGCCTCTCTGACCTTGTCCCCAAAACATCCGACCTGAGCTGTTCCTTTGATGTGCTCATTCCTAATCCTGTCCATCCTGGTCACTCCTAAAGAGAACCTCAACATCCTCATCTCTGCTACCTCCATCTCTGCCTCTTGTCTTTTCCTCACTGCTACAGTCTCTAACCCATACAGCATAGCTGGTCTCACTACCGTCTTGTACACCTTTCCTTTGATTCTTGCTGACACTCTTCTGTCACACAACACTCCTGACACTTTTCTCCACCCACTCCAACCTGCCTGCACTCGCCTCTTTACCTATTTCCTACACTCCCCGTCGCACTGGACCGTTGACCCCAAATACTTAAACTCCTGCACCTTTTTGACCTCAGCCCCCTGTAACCTCACTGTTCTATGTGAGGTTCTATATAATAATAGTGATAACAGTAAGGTCTAGACCTTACTTTGTAAAGTGTCCTGAGATGACTTTTGTTGTGATTTGGCGCTCACTGTCAGTAACCTCACTGTTCCACTTCCCTCCCTCTCCTTCATACACATGTATTCTGTCTTACTACAACTGACTTTCATTCCTCTTTTTACCAGAGTAGACCACCTTTCCAGGTGTTCCTCCACCTGCTCTCTGCTCTCATTACAGATCACAATGTCATCCGCAAACATCATTGTCCATGGAGATTCTTGTCTGACCTCGTCTGCCAACCTGTCCATCACCATAGCAAACAAGAAAGGACTCAAAGCCGATCCTTGATGTAGCCCCACCTCCACCTTGAACTCCTCTGTCTGACCTACAGCACATCTCACT